CTGATTCGGTTGGTCTTGGGCGCCTTTCTTTGACTCCTCTTTTTCCTAGCCCCCCCCCCCCCCCAATCCCCTGAAAACTTCGGCATGAACATCGCACTCACCCCCATGAGCCAGGAGCCAATCGTAACGTCCTCGTTCGTGAAGCACTCCAAGTGCTCGTGGCCCCGGTAGAGGTGCTCTACAAGAGGTTGCGCCAGGATGTAGAAAGCCCCCTTTAAATCGACGTTGGGGGCAGGCGGGCATCAACCGAGCGGCGGCAAGCTCCAGCGTGAGGAACGGAGATAAACGGTTTCTCCACGAAGGGGCGAACAACAATGCGACAGGAGCCAAGCCCAAGGTGGGAGCGCGCATTCAGGCAGAGCACCAGATAAGCTCGAGGGATGCGGTTTCTGTGTGATGCGATGTTGAAAGTTGACGGATCGATGCGACGGGGCACGGCGCACGCGTTTGAGTCCGGTCTAACGCGTTCCGTGGAACAAGCGGAGACTTTCAGATGAGAAGAAAGGGGCAAGAGCAAACAAAGCCGTGGAGATGCGGAATAACGCGTAGGGATGCCGGCATGGACGGACAGCAAGACTCCTAACCCACCAAACAGAGAAACACAAAAAAGGTGGGGGGGTGGGGGAGAGAAAGCGAGAGAGAGAGAGAGAGAGAGAGAGAGAGAGAGAGAGAGAGAGAGAGAGAGAGAGAGAGAGAGAGAGAGAGAGAGAGAAGAGAAGGGGGGAGGGGGGTGTGCACACACAACCAAAATAGGACGTGGAAAACGGCACAACATTATGAGATGACCAAGGTGCAGCATGAAACGACTTTTGACGTTGCCGGGTGCACCATCGTCAATTCGATCCTTCTCCGCCTGCACGTTTGCTAAGTTTCACTACATGTTTCACTACAGAGAAGGGCGCATGTTCATTGGCAACATCTGTGTTGAGCAGAGGATGCTGAGCAAAGATACACAAGACGCACAAACACAAGCAAACCCAACCCGTTTCCGCACGGTCTTTCCCCCCGGCGACACCCCCATCGGGGTCCCCGCAGAAGAAAACGTGATTTCTCGTTTGGCTGCGTGTCCTTTTAGACTGGCGTGTATTTCTGTTTCCAGTAATGATTTGTTAGCGGGGTCGATGCTCTCCAAAGAAACAAGAACGCGCGCGAGCAGAAACGCGGCGCACAACGAGTAACACTGCCTCGCACGCACGGCACGCACGCTTGCATGCAAGCCAAGCGCGCTCAGAGCGCATGAAACCGACCTGCATGTACGCTGGGAAGCAATCGAGGCCGCCCAGGGTGTGCTGCACGTATTTGCTGTCGAACCACCGGTGGTCGGGGTTCTTCATAACCCTCCCGTTCTGACCAATCAGAATCGTTCGTGTCGTTTGGGAGGTTGTGTCGCAGTATCGGCAAGAGGAACGGGACCCATTGGATGGCGTCAGCGCCGGTACGTAAGAGGCACACCCCCGCGCACGCATGGGCAAGGAACGGAGGACGCGAGAAAAAAAGTCCAAGTCAATTTACCGGAAAATTCAACAAGAAGAAGAACGCGCGAACATGCTTCCAAGAGAAAATGGGTTAAAAGGTTCAACATACTGAAGGGGCTGTTGCACGAACGAGCAGACGTCGACGCCACGTTCGCTGCCTGTCACTTGAAAAACAGCGTGTCTCGTGTCCCGAAACCACAAAAAAAAAAAAAAAACAATACCGCATACACAACCTCTTGACGAGTTGTTCACGGGATGACAGCATGGTGCAGATCGCTAAAAAATTTTCTGTGAGCGTCGACTTCGTTCGTGGGGCACGGTGGTGACGTCGAAGGCGTGTCGCCCTGAACAGCGACGAGGAATCCGCCGGCCAATACATGTGTCACCTTTCAGCTTGCAGCGACCAAACCCACACCCTGTTAGCTTTGCCGATTAGAGTCTCCACACACACAAAACACACACACCCCTTTCAGGGCACGAAAATGAGGTCGCACATACATACGCCACGGCGTTGGCACGCAGCATGGTACGAAATACTGTCACCACACGCTACCGTCCAAAATCCGCACACGGTTCAACGAAACAAAAATAAACGACAGCGCACTTTGTTCATGCACGAAAGACGTATATGGCCGTTTCCTCCTCACCCAGTAGTCCGGATTGGTGCTCTGGTTGCACGCCGTGGGCACGCCGACGTAGACCTTGCCCCTGATCTCCGGGTCTAGGTCGTGCAGCATCGAGGCGATGCGCGTCAGGCACACGAACGAATCGTCGTCCGCCTTGAGCAGGAAGTCGAAGTCGAAGTGCCGCACCTGCCGTTGTTGGTTTTTTGCGAGATGGAGAAAAAAAAAAAAACGTGTGGTGCGCATTACGGTTTTTGCGTGCACGAGTGATGATGCGTCCCGCGGGGCAACAACGGTACCACTGCTGCACGCCGTCAACAACACGGACGTCCCAACACCACCGCCACCACGGCTAAATAGCAGCGGACGCGCCACAGGCTGAATTGCTGCCCACGCTTCTGAGCCCGTCTCGCGGTGCCCTACCGATCCGCGGTAGGGCCAAAGTTGCTTTTAGGACAGCGAGCGCCAAAGGACGCCCCAGCAAAACCCCAAGCATGGTGACACGCAGCAGATGTCCCAGCACCAAAAGGCGAAGGCGGTGCCCGCACACGACATAGCACCCCCAACGGGGCACCACACGCCGCCGCAAACAACGATCTAAGCGCCTTACCAGGCACAGCATGGCCTTGGTCTTGAGCACGATGTTCCGGTACCCCTCCGGCACCGCCACGTAGAGGATATCCCCGACCAGCTCCCCCTCTGGAGGCGCGGTTTCCTTCGACATGACGAACACCACCGACACCGTGAACTCTCTCGGCTCAGGATTCTTGCCCTCCTGTCATGTATGTGTGTAGAGGCAAGTGTTTTGGTTTTCTGGCAGCGAGGGAGGGTAAGGGGGGTATGCGACAAACACGATCTCCGTAACGAATACTTCGGATTAACGCTTATGCAACCCCCGGTAGACCTCTAGATACACCTCGGGCGGGGGGAACGGATACCTCATGCGCGTTTGAACATTTGCGCAGATTGATGTGCACCTTTCTTTCTTTCCGCCGAAGTGACATGTCCGGAGTGTGTTTCGTGCGTGAAAGACGGACATTTCCACTCGGAAGCTGGACACGAGTGTCACCCGCTCTCTGCAAACGACTTTCAAGTCTCGGAGACACGTGCACCACGGCGGTGCCTCTTCCTTGGAGCCGCGCCCAATCAGTATTGTACAAAAACCGGGTGCCCCGGTGGCGGGAAACACCGAGCTCGCAGGCACCGCCACGTCGTCCCAAACCACGTCTTCAAAGCAAAACAAACAGCGTCAGCATGCACCCCGAATGATATCCCGAACAACGGTCGACCTGACCTTCGTCTGCAGTCGTCGCTGCAACACCGATCACGCACTACGGCCATAGAAATATGCTCCGTTGCCCGTTTGTAAACCCCTCGTCCCCATATGCCCAAAACTGGTGTCAAAGCAAGAGGGTGACTGGCTGACTCACCGTGAGAGAGTTGGGCCCTCCCACCTTCACCCACCCTTCGTACTTGTCGTAAATTTGCCGTAGCAGCTCTCGCTTCGCGGCATCCGCCTGAGAGGCGGCGGGAAAAGAGACGAAAGACATCGGGGGCAGGGACAGGTGCGAAGGGGCGGTGAGGAGGAGGCGAGGGCCCCACGTCACCATGCGGTGGACCTACATCGGGGGGAAGCATCAAGTGTTCTCTAAATGTATCTGCGCGTGGTTCGATATCCACGCTTGACGCAAGTGTCTGAGAGTGGCGTGACATGAAGCGCTTGCAGAGATGGTTGTCTGGACAACCTGGAACCAGGGTGCCATATGTACCGCCCAGGGTACCACATGTACCGAAAAATGTGGGTTTTGTTTGGCACGGATCGGCGTCTCCGCATGGGTCGGGGTCTTGGCTCAAGGGTGCAGTTGAAAAAGACGGGTCTACAAGTGGTTTGATCGATGACCGTAGGAGGCGGAGAGATGGCACCCCCCCTCTTAATAGACAGATTTTAGGATCCACAATGCTTGCGGCAACACCGAAATTGGTGGTTTTGGAAACGTCTTGTCAGGGATTTTCGTAGAACTACATCTGGCTCTTTTCGTAGAACTATCTGGCTCTTTCCACAACTGCTTGGTTGTGGAGCAATCGAGCTTTGAAAGCCGGTCTAGGGAGGGTGCCATCTCCCCGCCTCTGACGGAATACCACGGTACGGTATACGGTACGGTACAGACAATCTTGGTTGTGGAGCAATCGAGCTTTGAAAGCCGGTCTAGGGAGGGTGCCATCTCCCCACCTCTGACGGAATACCACGGTACGGTATACGGTACGGTACAGACAATCTTGGTTGTGGAGCAATCGAGCTTTGAAAGCCGGTCTTGGGAGGGTGCCATCTCCCCGCCTCTTACGGAATACCACGGTACGGTATACGATACGGCACAGACAATCTTGGTTGTGGAGCAATCGAGCATTGAAAGGCGGTCTAGGGAGGGTGCCATCTCCCCGCCTCTTTACAGTATCACACTGGTACATGTATCGTACCCTTGGCAACGGGATGTGAAGACCCCGATACCTCCGGTGAGGTTGGGCGATCGATACCACTAATAGAGGTGTTGTATCATGCCACGGGAGCTTGTATCATGGGCTCCGATGCTGCATGCTGGCACCGTGGCGGTGCTCATGTGCAAGCGGGGTCCTTTCGTTCAATATATTGCGACCATCAACGAGTTCGGCAAACGGTATCCACTTCAACCAAGAACGCGAATAGTACACGACACCTACATACTATGGAATACCGGTAGGACATCGGGCAACAACACGTATACTTGGCTTTGGAGGGCTGCCAGGCAAAATTGTACGTCCCCCGTAGGCCACGTCGTCGTCCTTCGTTTGTTGCACAGAACCAACCCCCTCCTCTACCGGCTTTGGTAGTCGCCCCATATGTCCGGACATACGTGTGTAGCTGGTGTTTGTGTTCATTTTGCTGCGGTCCTGTTGCTGCACTAAAATACTGCTGTTGCTACACACAGAAAGCGCTCGTGTGTCCGCTGTGCACTGCTGAGGATTGCACACATCGGGGGTCTTGGTGTGGGGGGTATCTGTTCAAACCGTTCCCGGATCGCCGCTTCGAATTCATTCAGAATCACGGATGTGAGTGATCGCAACGGATGTGCGTTATAACCAAATGCATTAGTTCAATTTCCGCACAGGTATCGGGTTCTTGGCACGGATTGGCGTTCCTGGCAACCATGTGCGATAAAACTAGTATAAAATCATAGTCATTAATAAAAGACGACCGCACGGCAGTGTGGCAAGACTCGCAACCGTTAAGGTATGAATACATCTCAACCGACCGACGCGTTGTCATCGGTTCCAAATACCCCGAGGACGCTTCAGCAGCATAACAAACTAGCCTGCACAGCAGCAGCTTGAGAAAGCATGCACTCACAAAGACTGTTCTGTTTTCCCTCACTACCACCTCCCGCCGGAACATGAGATTCGCGACTCCTTCCGTACCTCCGTTGTGCCCGAGAAGATCGTGAGCAAAAGGTCGACCTTTGGCCTTGTCTTCGCCGTCCCTACCGGCTCCAGCTCCCCCATGACTACGCTGCTTACTCGCCCGTCCCACTCCGTCCCTCTCTTGCCGCTCCTCCGCCCCAGTCCCAGCGATCCCGCCGCCTCGCCCTCCCCGCCCTCCGTCGAATCTTTTCCCGCCGCATCGCCGCCGCGGCCGTCGTCTTCCGAGGAGGCGTCGCCGCCGCCGCCGCCCTCGAGCCCCCAATCGGCGGTCGCGATCTCGATATCCCGCACCATCCAGGGATCCGCCAGCGACGGCCCCACGGCAAACTCTCCCGGTATTCGCCGGTAGTACGACCGGCTCACGTCGGCGGCGCCCTTGTCTCCGTCCCTGCCGCCGCCGTTAGGGTTGTCGCCGCCCTTGTTGTTGTCACCGGCAGCTCGTCCTCCGGTCGCCGGCCCGGCAACGGCGACGATAACAGAGAACCAGAACGCCGCGGCGAGGAGGACGGCGCCGGCGGTGGCCAGCCGCCGGCCCAAGGGATGTCGGGCAAGCCTCGAGAGGCCGCCGATCTCCGAGCGGGCGCCGAGGAGGCTCGCCGCCAGCGCCCTCCGCCGCCGCCAGAAGGCCCAGAGCAACCGCTGTGTTCTTCTCAGGAGTCGGCGGCGGCCATCGCTAGCGGCCGCAGGGGCAGCGGAGGAGCTACTACTGCTAGCTGTTCCGCCGCCGCCGCTGCTGGCGCTGCTGGCGCGGTAGTGTCGGCTCCCGCGAGGGGCGTCGGCTGGGGCAGTCGGAGCTGAGGCTAGCGGCCTGGCTCCTCCGCTTCCTCCTGGTCTCTTCTGGGCTCCTCCAGACGGTAGCAGAGGTGCTTCTAAGGCCGTCTCTCGAGCAGCAGCGGCCGAGCTGCTGCCGCACCGCTTGTGCCGCCTCGGCGGAAGAGATCTTGCTGGCGTCGCCGCCGAGTAGGAGGAGGGCAAGAGGTGGATCGATAGAGCTTCTGATGCTGCTTCTGATGCTGCCGGTACCGCCGCTGTTGCCCCCGCTGCAGCGGCATCACTGCTATCTCGGAGATGAACCGCAGATGTTCTTCGGTTCGGGTCCATAACCAAGCGGAAATCCGGCAGCAGCAGCAGCAGCAGCAGCAGCAGCAGCAGCAGCCGCAACGGCAGAGTTCGTTGTTGCAGTGAGAAACAACACCTACAGGACACACACACCCTCCAAACGAGACTTTATACGCTTTCGCGCTCGTTCGCTGGCTGCTCGCCTCCAGATTGCTCACTGCTGTTGCAACTTTGCAACGTCTCCAGGTGGCGAGTGAGGTTGTTACTGATCTCCCCCGTTTCGCCCTGCAGCCAGGGCGACACGCCGCAAAACGGGGCTCCGCAGTATCAACACTTTTTTTTTATATCCATCGGACCTATTTTACGGCCTGCCTGTCTCGCACATGTTGTATATTGTTGCGCGTCTTTGCTTTCCACCTGCGCTTGCACCACGCCGAACCGTGGAGATGGTGGGAACAGAAAGAGCTGTACTACTCCAGGTTTGTAATGCTGCAAGGAGATCAGTGCAGACACGTGCCTGAAGTAGACAGTATTATTTTAGTCGGAAAGTCTCGACTGATCTGCTGTTTTTCAAATTTGCTGGGTGGGTGCGCAAAACTGCAAATCCGAAAGGCCGGGGCCTGTGTTCGCGCCCAGCTGGTATGGTAGAGATACGACCGCAAGCAGCAGGGGCAGCAGCAGTAGAAGCATAGTGGTGCACCTTCCTGGGATTCCTTGGACCCTGGAAGCGTGAGATTGGGCGCCGTCGTCGTCGTCATCATTGTCGTTGTTGCCTGGGTCTGGGTTCCCGTTCACTAAGAGAAACTAAATAGGCGGAGCATGGTGTCGCATGAGACAACAGCACCACCACAGGCAGCACCTCTGGCGGAGAGCACCATGCAGGAGATGGAGCCAGCAAGCCCTCCCAGCAAATTAAGCAGCGGTAACACACGGATGCAGACGGAAAGCGCACCAGCGAGAACAGCTGCAACAGGAACAGCAGCAGCAGCAGCAGCAGCAGCAGCGGCAGTTCATGATCATGATGCTTCACGAGAGGATTCAGCACCAGCGAACAAGATTCGGGACGCTTCGACAACTTCAAACGGCCCTCCACAGCCGCTCCCGGCTTGGCACGACGGCGTCGGTGGGCCGCCTCCCGCGGGGACTATTTGCAGAAGCAGCAATAGTAGCAGCAGCAATCAGGTGCCCTCTGCTAGTTGCATCGCCCCTGTCGCTACGGTGCCGTCGTCCGTGCCGGCTACGAACAACCAGGCAACGGAACCGGCAACAACGCCTCCGCTGCTCCTCGGCAGCGCGCGCAGCGGACCCCCACCGCCGCCACCATCGACGCCGCCAACATCTTCGAATGGCGCACCACGGTCGTTGGCTCACGGCGACTACCCCACAGCTCCCGATGCTGCTGCTGGCGCTGCTGCTGATGCTGCAGCTGTCACGCCTGCTGACGGCGCGGCGGCGGCGGCGGCCGCACTGCCGTTTCCTTCCCCCCCGTCGCTGTCTCTCTCCCCGGCCGACAACGTCGAGTCGCCGCCGCCGAGCGCCCCCTGGCTGGTTGAGAGGGCGCTGTCCATCAAGGCTGCTATCGAAGAGGCTGTCAACAGCGGTGGTGGTGGCGGTAGCTCGGCTAGCGGCGGAGGAGGCGGGGCTGGGGGTGGGGGTGTGCTATTGCCGGCAGCCCAGGACGCAACCGCCGGGGGCATCGAGCAGGGTGCGGGGGGACGAGGGGGAAGCGCCGAGGTGTTTCCGGATGGAGTCATCGCTAAGGTACGTGCTCGGTGGCAAGAAGAAGACGGAAACGAACTCGCTTAGCAAGTGTTCCGTGAGGTATCGAACACGGTAGTGTGCCGCACCACAGACGGTGTGGAGCGTATGTAACACTATAGTACGTGTCTGCCGTTTGGCGTACTCGTCGACAAGGATATGGCTCGCTACAACGGGACCCCCATCACCCCTAACCCCCCCTACCCGCCCGCCCGCCCGCCCGCCCGCCCGCCCGCCCGCCTGCCGCCAGGTTCCGCGCTTGGTCGCCGATCTCCACGACGCGTTAGGACGGGCCGTCAGCACGAACGAGGCCAAGGCCTGGGTGAGCGCACTCGATCGCCTTGGAGAGGGTTTGGACAGAGACCAGCTGGTGGAGGCGTGTCTGGTAAGCCGTGAACTTGTGCATGTTCGTATGGTACGGCGCTCGTGGAGTGTATTGCGCACATGTGATCCGACTACGCTGCGTTAGATCGCATGCGCGGGTTTTCTATGTCTCGACGCATCGGCGCTCTTTGCGTTGTCCTTTCTCTGTTTGGCATTTTGTAGGCTTTGCGCCCCGCAAGTCCTGCGCGTTGTGCGGTGGGGACATTTAACCCTTTGTCAGCCCCGGTCACCCCTCTACCGCCCCTGGCAGGAACACCGACTTATCCTGTGTAACGTGCCTTCTGCCTTTTTCTGTCCGCCCGTCTCGTACAGGATGTCTCACGGGACGTGTTGCGGCTGGATGGTTCGCCCAACCCGGTGTGGGGCGAATCTCCTGCGGCTGCCGCAGTACCCCTGTCCGGCCTTGCGTCCACGGCACTCGTCGAAGAATCAGAGTTAGGCAAAGGGGCGGCGGAGGCGGCGGGAGCGGCGATTACCGTCACGGATGCCCTGCCGCGGGGCGGCTCGTGTCCGGAGAGTGTCTCCCCCACGCCTGCTTCTTGTCCGGCGGTAGTGGAGACGCCTGCAGGGACGGCGGGAGCAGCAAGGACGCTGGACGCAAACGGGGCAGTGTTGCCGGCACCGGCGGCTAAGACACCGGCGATGTTGCCGCCCTCTTCACCACAGACAGCAGTTCCTGAAGGAGGAGATGAGCCGGTAACCGTAGCGCTAGCACAAGCAGGAGCTCCAGCGGTAGCATCAGATGGGGAGGCAAGACAAAGAGGCAACGAGGCCGCGGCGGAGGAGAGAGCCGTCTCGGGGGCGGTGTTATTCGTTGGAAACGATCCCCATTGCCCTTCTTCCACAACCGCCGTGGTGCCCTTTTCTTCGATTTCGACAGCACCAGCGGTGCCGCCGCCACCGCCGCCGCCGCCGCCACCGCCACCGCGGCCGCCGGAAGCCTGTGAACCATCTGTGTCCCTGGAAAGAGTGGTGCCGTTTCTCGCGGCAACACCGAGCAAGGCGGTCCTGGTGGCAGCAGCAGCAAAAGCAGCGGCAGCAGCTAAAGCATTAGCATCAGAAACCGCAACAAAGGCAGTAGCACCACCGACACCAGCACCAGCAGCACCAGCACCAGCACCAGCAGCACCAGCAGCACCAGCACCAACAGTACCAGCACCAGCACCAACGGCAGCAGTTGGCGGAGAAAAGATCTCGGGAGGGGACAGCAACGCTACAGGAGAACCGTCGTGGCCGGCCAGCAGTTGTCGCGGTGGCATTTCAGCAGACGGGGAGGTTTCAGGGCCAGCACCAGCAACGGAAGCAGCTGCCGCCGCCGCCAGGCGTGGCAAAGAGGGAACAGGAGTGGAGGCGGAGGAACGTTGTCCGGGAGCGGCGCGTAGCGCTGCCGGGGAAGCGCCCGCGGTTGCACGAGGAGACGCGGGTGGTGCTCCTGAAGTTGTTGCTCCTCCGGCTGAATCGTGCGATGGTGCCGGCATCGCTGCCGCAGACGTTGTAGTCGACTGCGAAGATGCTCGAGATCCCGGCCGAAGCAACGGTAGCAGCGGCTGTGGGAGCGGCGGCGGCGGCGGCGGCGGCGGCGGCGGTGGGAGTGAGACTGCTTCTGCCCGAGACGTTGTTGGCCGCGGGACACCCGGGAGGGGGGGGAAACAGGGAGCAAGGCGAAACGCTTCCAAGTTTCCCGATGACGTCATTGCAAAGGTACGTGCTGGAAGCTGCAAGCTTTCGCTTCGGCGGGTTCTACTGCCACTACCGCTGCTGTCGATACGGGTTCTACGTTGGCAAGTGTCTGTCCTTCGTTTTGTTAAATCCGGGCTATGTGAGCTCACCAGGCGGGATCAGGCCATGCAGGGAGAGGAAGGGGAGGGAAGATTCCGATGCCTGTGCGCTTGATGGCGTTGGGGGTCTTGAGAGACCATATCTGCTTTGTTCTTGAGAGACAAAATGTGCTTTGTTGGTCACGTAGGTCTCAGCCAGACCCATCAAGGGCCGGCCAACCCCCCCCCCCCCCCCGGCTCCCCCTTCGATGTTTGCCATCGGGGATGGGTTTCCGTCGCTTGGCAACGACATTGTAAAACAAGCGCGCCCCCCCCGGTGTTTGCCATCGGGGTTGGGTTTTCGTCGCTTGGCAGCGATGTTGTAAAACAAGCCGATCACTTCGTGAGCTCGGCAACCAGGTTACCGCTTTTTTTTTGCCTTTGTTTTTTTTTTGCGGTACCCGTGAATGGTTGTCGAGTAGATTATGTTGTGCGGGGTCGAGAACCCTCACTCCGCGCAAAGGGGATAATCGCACGTTGTGTTAAATTGGTCAAGCACCCTCGAGGCAGTTACACAGCGCTTACAACTGTCTCTGGAAGTGAAAGCACCAGAAAACAAAGTAAGTCATACGCAGCTGTCATCCGTACGCAAGGAAGTAAGCACAAGATGCCGAACACCCTTAGCAGGATGCAGCTCACCCTTCATGCGACTCGCCAAATACCTCACGCCGCTTCGCGCTTGGTGATGTGAGAGCCTGGTCCGGTGAGAACCCGGCGTGCTCCGTCCCGGCTTTGTAGGGATGCGAGGTCAATGGTCTAACGACTACGGCATGCACGACTATGAGTACCCCCCCCCCCCCCTCCCCCCTCCTCCGTACGCCTATCCTCTCCTTGTCCCACCAATCGAACCGAAATCCCATCCTTGCTGGCGCGGACGGTGCGTTTTAATCGCTCGCGAAACAGATTCCCTGCCTGTCGGCTGACCTCAACGCTACTCTCGGTGAGTTCTAGGCCATCCAGCCCCGCTTTTTGTGTGTTGACGCTGCGGCCTCTGCAGGAGTTGAAAATTGGACCGCCTTCGCGCGATTAACAAGTTTATGAGGAAATAGAACAAGAATAGAACAAGAATAGAACAGGGACGGGGGACGTAGACCCTGTTCCCTAACCCTAACCCTAAACCCAACTTCCCCGAATGTATGCCTTATCCAACGTGTTTTCATGATAAGAAAAAACCTGCAAAGGCTACTCTGTGAGAATTCGGTGTTGAAGTATTGTCGTGGGGGGTGGTGCATGATGATGGTGCAGCAGTGCGCTGGGTTGTGGGACGAGTACTTCTTTCATGCGGCTTCGGACCTTGGCGGTAGGATTGGATGATGCTGATGGACGACACCATTTTGTGCCGATTGATGGTGGCAACAACAACAAGTGATGCTGATCGTAGCGCCTCTCCCTCTTCCAAGGATCGCGTTCGTCAACCTCGGTGAGCCCAGTGAAGGAGTCCTTCCGGGAGTGTACTTTTGCTTTGTGTCGTGCTGGCTGTACAGGATCACACTGGTCTTTTTTTTTTTTTTTAAGTTTTGTTTTTTCGCACTGCAGGACGTTACGTGAGCCTGCAGGAGGTGAAGGACGCCGTACGTTTACTCCGCCGAAGCGGGGCAGGGATGGACAGGCAGGCGCTTGTGGACGGCTGCTTGGTGCGTTAACGTTTGCGGTTGCGGTGTTGGCGATGGCAGCCATAATGTCATGGGCTATATTTATCGGCCTGCCGTCCTTGTGCATCTCAAGTTCGGTTGGCCCCTTTTCGAGACCTTTAAAGGACGCTAGAGGACCTGTATGCTGCAGATCCATCTTGAGCGATCATCGAACCAGACATGAAAAGCTTTACACGCCTCTTGTCGCCAACCTCCCCCTCCCACCCCCCCCCTAACTCGTCGTCCGAAAGGACGTCATGGGCCAGAGCGGAAACGGACCCTTTTTATCGCTTCCATCTACCGATGGGTCCGGCACCGTTGCGATGGCACCCCCCAAGCATCGCCGTACGACCGCGGCCGACGGGGGCGGCGGCAGCGCGAGCCCAAGGCGTACTGAAGGCGGCGCACCATCACCCGCCAGCAGCAGCAGCAGCAGCAGCAGCAGCAGCAGCATCGCTTCATCGGCAGGAACGAGGGCGGCGGCGGCGGCGGCGGCGGCAGCGGCAGCAGCAGCTGCTGCCGCGGACAGCAGCAGCACGAAGACACCGACGGGCGACCGCCGCCCGCCCACAAGGAAGCGGGGAAGACCCAAAAGTACAGGGTCTGGTCGGCTCGAAGGCAGCGGCGGCGGCGGCGGCGGCGACGGCCGGCTTGGGCATGAGGAGTACGAGGGTGTCGCGGCCTCGAAAACGCCCCCGATTTCGAAGAGAGAGTCCAAGCCGGCGGCGAAGGGTGGGTCGGACAGCAGCAGGAGACGGACGAGCGCAGGAGGCGGCGGCGGCGGCGGCGGCGGCGGTGCCGCTGCTGGCGTTGGCCCTCGTGGCTTGTCGAAGCGCGGCGCCCGGCAGCCCTGCGGCCTCATCCCCGAGAGCGTGATCGCGAAGGTGAACACGTGGGGAAAAAAACAGCTCAAGAACATTGTACCGTACCGTATCTTGCTTGCGTAAGATGCCACCCCCCCCTGAACCAACCGATTGTCGAAAAGCTCGATTGCTTTGCAGCACTACTAGCGGTGACGTTGCCGAGAATGCGAGGCGTTGGGACTGTTTCTCCCCTAGAACATTCCGAAATCGTGTCGTGTGTGGCACCCTCTTCGTCGTGAGTGTAGTCGAGCTACGAAAAAGTGGCCCGGGGGGTGTGGTACCATATGCAACCCGGGGTGATAGCGTGCGTTTGGCCACACGACCTGTGTACGGTGCGCGAAGCGAGCGCTGTGCCGCTTGCGACGGGTAATAAACACCCCGTGCTCGCCGAGACTGCTGCTTTGTGTCGCTGTAGGCATTTCAGTTTTAGTTACTTTTAATCCTGGCGGTTGACTGGGCAGAGGGACAAATAGGAAGGTTAGGGACAGGAGAACCGGAAAAATCGTTGTTGATTGCTGGTGCTTTTGGTTGGTGCTCAAGTTGACCCGCGTGATGCCCCCCCCCACCGTCTCGACCCTACGTTTGAATTTGCTGCGTGTCTCTGTCGTGCCAGGTGCCCCGACTGCTGATGGACTTGGAGAAGTTTGTTGGCTACCGCGTGTTCGCTGACGACGCTAAGGCCCGCTGCCGAGAGCTAGATCGCTGCGGTACGTACTTCGAACGCGTGTCTAAGAACCTCGATAGAATCGCGTTGATAACGATACCCCGCTAATGATAGATACCCCGCTGCATCATCGTTTGAGGGGAAATAAAGGGGGTACTGGACGGTGTTGATTTATTTTCTTTCAACGTACCCTGTGTTGTTGTTTTTGTTGTTGCCGTCCATGGCAGGCGAGGGTTTGAACCAGCAGGAGCTGTGCGACGCCCTGGTTTCCCTGCTGCGGCTGCAAGCCCCAAGCAATGACGCCGGCAGCGGCGGCTCTGGCGCCGCATGTTACGGTAGCAGCGGCGGCAGCGAAGAGAAGGAGGGAGCCCAGCAGGGCGCGGGGGGGGAGCGGGAGCGGGAGGATTTGAAGCATTACGAGGAAGACAAGCAGGCGAGGCGATCCGTGTCCCCGCAACGTTTGCCGTCACGCTTGCTGCTGACGACGCCATCGTCTTCGGCTGTGTCGCTGCTCCCCTCGGGATCGGGGCGGTCGGTAGCGGCGAGCGGTGGCGGCCGCCGCGGGAAGGGTAAGAAGAAGAGCCAGAAGGAGTTTGGCGGGAGAGGGGAGGAGGAGGAGGAGGAGGAGGAGGAAGAGGAGGATGGGCGGGAGCAGGAGCAGGAGCAGGGGCAAGAGGAGGAGGAGGAGGAGGAGGAGGAGCAGGAGCAGGAGAAGGCGGAGGAGGAGGAGGAGGAGGGGGATAAGGAGCAGGAGCAGGAGGAGGGGGAGGAGGAATCACCAGATTTGGCTCAAGTGGGGTCCTCAGTTGGGTGTGCGGACGACAACACCGGCGGCGGCGGCGGTTGTGTACCCCCGATATCATCACCGTCACAGCCGCAACCGCCGCGACAGCGGCGCCAGCACCAACGGCAAGAGGCCAACGGTACAGCGCCCCTGAACGCCGGCGCAGCCAAGTCGAGGTCGTCGCGGGCGGGTAGCGTTGCCGGCGGCGGCAGCGTCTCGGGGGAAGGGCGGGGGGCGGAGACAAAGTCGGGCGCGGGGAAGAGAACAACGGGGCCGGCGGATGACGAGAATGAAACGAACAAGCGGAGGAGAACAGGGGGCGCTGAGGATGGGAACCACAGGGTGTTGTTAAGGGGTGGTGCCGGTGCTAGTGCCGCTGGCGCTGCTGTGGGGAGCACCAACAGCCCTGCCCCGAGAAAAAGGCCCCGTCGATCGTCCGGTATCTTCCCCGAGAGCGTTATCTCGAAGGTGTGGTGGCTTCATTGGTGTCAACAGCTGCGTACTGCTGTCCGTGTCGGTCTGTGGAAGTGCTTTTTAGATCACCTTTAATTTTCTTTTGAGTTGAGTGCACCAAAGTTCTTCTCTCGCGCGCGCGCCGTCTCTCTCTCTTTTCTCTTCCTCTCTCTCTCCCTCGAGAGGGGGATTCGAACTGCTGCCCCCCGGCACTGCCTGTCTTTTATTTGTGTGTTGGGTCGTATTGGAAATAGTGATTGCTTTTCTCGACCCTATCCTTCTCGCCCGCCGCGCCTCCGAACATCAATGGCCCGCGCTTCTTGTTTTCGTTCCCCACTTTTCGCTCCCGCATCGCGATGCCGTTAGAATTGTCACCCCTCTTCTTGTTCTCGCCCTCACCCTTGCGCACATCTCGCCTCCCCATCGTTTGCAAGCATACCACGAACGCATTTTCTCTGCAGTTTTCTTAGAAGCTTACAAGTACTATGGGGAACTACGGCCCTAATCCCATGTCTGTAGCACTCCTCCTAAGGTGTCTTGTATGTTTTCGACCAAAGCCCCGTTGCCATCGTCGTTGTCGTCGTCGTCAGGTGCCGCGCCTGGCGCTGGACTTGTCTGCGAGGCTGGGATGCGGCGTGACCACCGAGCAGGCGAAGGCGGCCTGTCGGGAGCTGGACAGATGCGGTGAGGGCGGAATGTTTTTTTCTGTTGTTGTTGTTGTTGTTGTTGTTGTTGGTGTTGGTGTGTTGTTGGTGCTACTCTTGCTGATGCTACTTGTGTTGTTGCTCTTGGTTTGTTGCTCATTATTTGTCGTTGCTGCTGCTATTTGCCGCGGTGATTTTGAAGTTTCCGCTGCTCCTGCTCTTGCTGCTGCCGCTGCTGCTCTGCTGATGTTTGCTGCTGTCGACGTTCTTACTCCATTTCTGCACTTGTCTTGCAACAGGAGATCGCCTGACCTCAAAAGAGCTCGCGGACGCCTGCGTGGGCCATTTCCTGATCACACCCCCCGCGGCGCAACACACCGAGGACCAGGAAGGAGAGGGGCATGCGGCGCAATTACCGTTGCCGCCGTCATCACCGCCGGCGCCGACGCCACTACCGCCCGTCGTTGGTACCAGCCCGAGTCAAGCCGTCAAACCCGCGGGAATTCCGGACAGCGTCGCCGCGAAGGTGGTCATTTTCTTAGACCTGGGTCATGGCCTCACTACTTTATGCTGCTGTGCCTGGTTGCTGTGCCCCCGCTGTATTGTTCTGTGCTGCTGTAGTAGTTGTTTTTCTTTCTTATTCCAGGAGTACCAACTACCTTCGGAGCCGCTAAGCGAAACACTTGTTGACCGCGTTGGCATTCACGGCGCCACCTGACCGACACCCACAAAATCGACTTGTTCGTGTTTTTCGGCGCCGACAACAGACACGCTCGTTCAGTACTCAAGTACCCTTGCCCTTTGGCCTGTTTTCGGGGCTTGTCATTTCTTCGCACGTGCTGAGCGCGTGTAGCGAATGATGAGACGCACACGGCGGGCGCACTCCCGGAGCTAGGAAATATGTGCTTGTGCTATTTCCCTCCCCCCCGGCCAGGCGTCCCGCCGCTCCCCCCGCGGCATCGGTGTTTGTTTCCTGCCTACGTAGCTGTTGCCCCGCCGCCTGGTGCATAGCAGCGTTTTGAGAGAGGAGGTCTACGGAGCCACCTGCCTGTTCATAGCCTCAAGTTTTCCGAGATCTTTTTGTACTGATGTACGATGTTGATGTGTGTTTGTTTTTGGCTGCGTCGCCTCCAGTATCAACGAGAGACTCCCCGCCCCGCCCCCGCCCCCCCTTTCTTTTGGGTTGTGTCCCTTGGTTGGTTCCCAAGTAGTGGAGCAACACGAACAAGCGGCCTACGTTGGTATGGTGGTGGCTCTCACGCGAGGAACGCGTGCGAGGAGAACGAAGTGCGCTTGCCTGTTTCGACCCGGCAGTCTAGATCGAGGATGCGTGTGGGCGTGGGGTCGAGTTTGCTTTTTCCCCAAGCCACAGCAACCATGACCCGACCCGCGCCTCTTGCCGACGACATCTATCTGTCCCTCCAGGTGAATCGCTTGGCGCTAGATCTGGAGACCTTCATGGGGCGCCCGGTGTCGTTGGAGGAGGCCGAGGCTGGCGTGCGAAAGCTGGAAAATTGCGGTACGTACGCTGTTGTTAATTGTTATTGTGGTTGTTGTTGATCTCCAAAAACTCTCCGGTAGAGTACTCCCTGTTCCGTACAGTTGCACCACAAGAGGTTTTGGTAGTCCGGACACGTCGAGACACCGCCAGTGGAGCAACAATTTTTTGCCGCACCTCGATGCCGCTTTGGTTCCAGCTACCACTACAGTAAGTAGGACGAGCATTGCGTTGTGTCGTGTTGGCATGCCGGCCGTCTCTTTTCCTCACCAACTTCTTCCCTGTCTACGTTTCTTCACACGGCTTGTTTTGGGCAGGCGAGAGCTTGACGCAGCAGGAGCTCTGCGACGCGTGCGTGTGCCACCTTGTCTGTGGCGATGGCGGCGGCGGTGGCGGCGGCGGTGGAGCAAGCGGGGTCACCGAGGCCGACGGCGTCCGCCGTCGGCCATCGTCTCCCGAGGGGCCGCGAATAGACTGGCGCTCTCACATCCCCACGCCGGCCGAACTGGTCCCTCAAGGGGGCCTTTCCGACATCTTCCGGTCAAGCCTTGACGGAAGCCGTGGCGTGGGGGCCGGCGGCGAGCCCGGCAGCGGGGGGGAGCAAGGGTGCTCGCCCCGTGGGGTCACCGGGGTTCAGCCCGGAGTCGGGCATGGCACCACCACGCCGTCTTGTTCGTCTTTGCAGCAGCAGCAGCAGCAGCAGCAGCAGCAGCAGCGGTCTTCAGGCATAACGAGCAAAGGCGGCGGCACCAAGAACAGAGCGGACGCCGCAAGCGCCGCGGCTACCGCATGGGCAGCGCGGGCGGTAAATCGAGGGTCAAGAAGACCCCCGAACAAAGACAAGCGCGCCGAACATGACGACGGCGGGAGAAGAATCAGCGGCGGCAGCGGTAGCGGTAGCGGTAGCCGCAAGAAGCAACGGTGCAACAAGGTCGACGGCACAACGCCGCTCTCCTCAGGCCGCCTCAACTGCGATGTCGGCGAGTTCGTCGTGTTTCCCACGCCCCGCACCTCTCCGGTCCCGTTCCTCCTGGGCAAGGTCCTGCGGAAGAGGGCGCTCGCAAGCGGTAAGGCCGGCGTCCCGTCGAGGACCGAGGTCACCGTCCATTGGTACACGCCCAAGACAAGGCCACCGCCGCCGCCGCCGCCTCCTGTTGCCCGGGGCAACGGCGACGACGCCGGGACGCGGGCGCGGGCGTTGGAAGCGGAGGCGGTGGTGAGGTACACTTTGGGAGGCTGGTCCGGGGACTTCGTGCCCGCGGGGGGCGGCGGCGGCGGCAGCGGGGCCACCAGGAGGCTGAAGAGCGACACCGGGGAGGAGGACCTGGCGTCGGCGATGGTGGTGTTCCCGGGGCTGTTGCGGTCCAACGACGCCATACCCGCGGGCGTGCGGGACGCCGTGATCTCGGCGGTGTTGGCGGCAACGGCGGCGGAGGATGCCAAGGAGAGCGGGAGGAAGCAGCCAGTGGGAGGGGTCGGGCACGGCGAGAATAAGGGGCGGGAGGGGGACACCAGCGGTAAGGAGACGGGGCAGAGCGCGAGGCCAGACGGGCCGGGCAGTCGACAGAAACGAGCGGGTCGGAAGGGCGCCGGGGGGGCGGTGTTGGACGGAGACGGCACTTCCGCCGTGGCGGCTGCCGTACCGGCCGCAGTCGCGGAAGAGGAGGGCTGGGAGACGGACGATTCGGCCGACGACTTCGAGTGACCGACCGTTCGACAAGAAAACCAGCTACGTAGCAGTTCGTCCTCTGTGGCACAGCTGCTACTTTTGTACGAAGAAATGCGATGAAGAACAGAGCGGGGGAACGCTCCTTCGAGGAGATAAACGTAGAAGCAAATTAAAAAGTGGGTGTAGCTTTGTGCACCCGTGCAGGCGGCGGTGGGGTAGAGTCCGACAGCAGGTACTCTATTTCTGTTTTTGCTCGTGTGTTTTCCTTAAATTAGCATCGACCGCGCTAGCTGGATGGCCACTATGAAGACGTCACTATCGTAGTGGGACAATACCTGTACGGACGCTTTCCAACCGGCGGGCTCTCCAAGCAGGGGGTTCGCGGAGGGTAATTTCGATGCGCGTGTGTAGAGCGTCGACCGCGCTAGCCTGGATGAGCAACAAAATGCGTCAGTCCTACAAAATGGCGAGATAAGAAACGCTACCACGATATCTGGGCATGTCTTTCTTGTGATTTTTTTTTGTTCAAGTATCGACCTGGTCAAAACCGGCTGATTCAGCAGTGAGAGACGCGAGTTTGAAGATCGAATTCGCTTTTCTAATGTGCACGTGTTTGTTTCAGCGATTTACGTCGCCACAAACCGGTGGGTCTGTGTGTGTGTGTGTGTGTGTGTTTTGTCTTGCATGCAGGCGTTGGATTTAATGTTTGTCAAGTACAGCGGCGTGCCCCCCGCGTGTTAAAGCAGCGTGTCACGCACGAGAGCGTCAAATTGAGGGAAGGGAAGGGAGGGGAACTAACTCGGGCTGCTATTGTGGAGATTTCAGATCATGTCTTGTGGACCCCAACATCCCAATAAACATTTTGTTCGGTTTTATACAGTAAACGTTTTGTTGGTCCCTGCGGAATAATGCTTTCAACAGGTTTCGGGTTATTTCCGGTAGTTGTTTTGGTTTTGGGGGCAGGTTTCGTGGGGAAGGGGGGGGGGGGGGGGGGTTCGAAGAAAAGGAGGGGGGTCGTGGACTGGACTATCTAAGGTGTTTTACACCTCTCCACCACAAAATAGTGCATCACTCCCTGCATGTGACCTCGTGGAGGAGTTGAATATGCTTTGAGGGGGCACCTGTTTCTGCAGTACATCATGCGTTGGCATGCGAACTCTGTGGTAGCATAACTATTCAGTCCATGCGTAGTGAAAAGCTACTTGCTGCTGAAGCTAGTCCTTGCGTTGGTTCGTTTGAAGGAGGAACTCCACCGCGACCGGCTTCGAGAAGCGGCGCGATACACAAAACCTACGACCCCCACCACGTTTCAAGCTCAAGGGGAGAGGGCCAAAGGTAGTCGTCGAAGTTCACAGCAGTCGGTGGTAGATAGAGCACGGCACAACACCCTCAAAGAGCTTTTTCCTCGGCCCGATGTAAACGCTTTCGCACCCGATTCATCCGGTCCGGAAGACCCTAATTGTGAGTACAACCACGCCAAATTCGGCCCCCTCAACAACACCAGGACCCACCACACCACACCACACCGGCAAGAATATGCCGAAAATGGATTCGGCCGGGTGGTGGTATTCCCTCAAACCGGTGCGCACGTCAATGCACACAACGAGATCAACGTTGGCTCCGCATCTCCGGCATAAAAAAGCTTCTATAAAAAGGTTTTCTAAAGAAGTAGCATCTGTTGGGGGACGCGACACGCGGTCGCCAGCAACCTCTGCTATCAGGATACTCTTTTCTTATCTGGCGACGGTCCGGGGGGCGGTTTGTCCAACACGTTCACCCACAAGTTGATTGCGCAAGCCAAGTACCGCACCCCGCAGTACTCCACGACACCCGGCGGCTCAACGCCGCTGCCGCCGCCGCCGCCGGCACCACCGCTAAAAACCGCCAACGGCTGGAGGCTCACGCCGCAGAGCGCCGAATCCTCCGCGGGCGGCGGCGTCTCGACGCAGGCTTCCCTGATGGCCGCCACGCTACTACTACCGGCAGGAGCGACACCGCCACCAACCGCGGTCCTCTCGTCTTTTCCTCCGACTAACCCAGAGGCGGCGCCAGGAGACCCCCCCACCCCTTGGGCCTCCTTCCCCATACAAACTCCCTCCTCGCCGTCTTCGACCCCGAAAACGGAGGGAAGGTCGCCGCCGCCGTCGTCGCCGGCCGCCGCCGCCGCTGCCTCCCGGGCGGACCGCCGCAGCTCCGCCCAGGCCCGCTCCATCGCGGCGAAGCCGTCCACCCCTTGCAGGCAGCAGCCGTCCTCGGCCGACGCCTGAAGCATCCGGCAGACCTTGACCGCTTCCCGCAGGCCCCGACAAAACGACTCCAACTCTTGGGACCTGGCCACTTCCCTCCTCACCGCCACCCCGTCGCTGGCGAGCGCGTCGGCATCCGGGGGGACCCCGGCGGAATCTATCTCAGCACGACAATCAGCGCCCTCTCGCTCCGCGGTAGGGCGGGTAAACGGCGACGACGGTCGCGTGGGAGACGCTGGTGTCGCCGCCGCGCGATCGCTACCGCTGCGGCTGCCGGCACCACCGCCCGCTAGGGCCTCGATCCCTCTCGCCGCCATGCTAGTGACGTACGACATCATGGCCGCCCAGTCGGCCAAGCTAGGGGGAGACCTCGCCCGCCGCGTGTCCAACCCTAGATCCAGCTCCAGCTTATCTTGTTCCTCCTTCTCATCGCCGCCGCCGCTGGTCAGCCCTCCATCTCTCCCGTCTTCTAAATCCTTATCGGCTGCGCCATCACCCGCCGTACCAGCCGCGTCCAGCATCGACAGCAGGCACACCGCTCGTCGCGCGGAACGTTGCCGCCTCACCGCTACGCCAAGCGCGGCGGCACCCCCGCCGCCGGCAAGTGCCTCCTCTTCCACCGGCGGCCGCCCGCGGACGAACCTCTCTCGAAACTTCTCCCCCCGAGCGGCATCGGCCGCGGACATCGTCGCCGCGAGCTCCTCCACCGTGGGAAACGGCCGGAGGTCTTCCGCAGCAACAGCTCGCCACCGCTCAAGGTCGGCGTCCTCTGCCTCGCCGCCGCCGCCGTCTGCATCGGCGTTCGCGTCGTCGTCGGCCGTGACGTCCTCAGGCGAATACGGGACGTCTATCGCCCGCGGCGGCGGCGTCGACGGTAGCTCCATTCTTCGCTGCACCTCGACGGCTTCCTCCAGTCGCCCCCGCTTCGCCAGCGCATCCCGCAGACCGCGCAGGGACAGAGGGAGCCCCGGCGCCGTCACCGTCGTCGTTGCCGCAGCCCCGCTCGGAAACGACCCTGAACCGCCCCCCTTTTCGCTTCCGAGCCTCCCGGCCTCCTCTTCCTCGGCCGTCGCCCCGACCGTGGGGGGTCGAGGAGGAGGAGGAGGCGGGGTCGCAGGCGCGATGTCCGCAAACGGGTCGACCGCTTCTTCCGGCGGTGCCTCCGGCGAGCCGCCGGTGCTGCTAGCGCCGCCAATAGCAAATCCGGCCTCCTCCCCCGCCGCCGCCTCGGGCGCGTCAGCGAAAGTTCCCCACTCTTCCTCGTCGTCATCATCAAGGGCATCATTTGCCGTGGTGTCCTCTCTAACTGCCGTCACTTCGCCCTCGGGACCGGGCAGGTCCTGCTGCCCGGTCGTCCCCTCCCCGCCCGCCGTCGCGTCTTCGAAGTCACCCCACTCGTCGTCCTGGCCTTGTGCCCCCTCCGCCGCCGCCGCCGCCGGTGCCGCGCCGTCCGCGATGGACGCGTGGGCTGACGCTGCTACAGCCCCCTCCGACGAGACCGGTGGCATCCCCTGCTGCTCCAAGCCAGGCCACGCCTGCTGCTGCTGCTGCTGCTGTTGCTGCTCGTCTTCGACCATCGCCGCCGCGCTACTGCTGCCGCCGGCGCCGCTCCCAACTTCCGGATCCTGATCGAGAGGCCGGGGCTCCCCGCGAATATCAGCGTCGCTATCACTAATCGCATCGTCTATTGCAGGCTCGTCTACGCCGGCAGCTTTGACGGCTTCTTCTGCAGTCGTAGGAGGAGGAGGAGGAGGAGGGGGCGAAGGCGGTGGGGAAGGGGTTGGGGAGCGGGGCGGTGCCGTGGTCTCGTCGGCGAAGTCGTTCCAGTCCTCCTGCCCCACCGCCAGGTCCAGGTCAGCCATCTCGTCGAACACGGACAGCTTGGTGCGGGACGACGAGGCTCTGGGGCAAGCCAAAACAAGGCGGATAGTATGCATACGGCGAGAGGGAATAAGGGGTGTGTGTGAGAGAGAGCAAAAGAAAATAACAGTCTTGACAAAAATCTCCCTGGTTTGGCTGGCGTCCCGTTCGCTCCCACATACACCAACAAGAGGAAGGGCTATTAAACGACAAGAAACCCTTGCCCTAACCCTAATGCTTGGTTGGGTATAAAACGGGTGGTATTGACAAACGTTCACCACGCGTTCGACGCCAGCGCGGGGATCGCGGGCTAAAAGCCCTTGTGCGCGAGACATGGGGGGACATGCTGTGAATAACAGGCACATTCCGGCAGCGGTTGGGAAGGAACCAGTAGCGCCGTGCGTACAACCTCTAGAGCGTGACATCGGCAACCGCAGAGGCAAAAACGAACCCGGCTTACCTGTCCACCATGACGGGGTTGTGCGCCTTCTCCGCGAGCGGCGGCGTTGGTGTCTGCTTCAAGTCCGTATGGTGGCCATGGGGAGGGGGACAGAAATTCGGGTGGGTGCATGCCAGAGGGTGATGACGAGAACGTTCGACGACAGCAGCAGCGGCTCACCGGTGTACAGGCGGTCGTGCCAAGGCAGCTAATCTCGGGCTTGACGTCAACCGTACCGGTACACTACCGCGAGGAGCGGAGCCTTGGCAAACGAATGCCAATAAGAACCAACCATTATGGTTCGACAGTTGCAGAGGGATCGGGAGTCTTGGCAAAGGAGTACCCCAAAAGACTCCGATACTTATCGTGAGGTGATCCGATACCGCGAGTGAGTTCCAGCATTTTTCGCTCGAATATTGAGCGAGTTTTCATCGTATGATGTACCAGGTACGGTACAGCAGGTCACAACCAAACACCGACTCATATCTTGCGACCCCCTACCCGAGCGAGAAAAATGACATAGCGGAATTGCTTGGTTATCCATTCCGCGACAAGCCAAAAAAAGTGGCTTGTCGCGCAGCAATAGACGACGGAGCGATAACTTGGCTCTTAGCTCACCATGTCCGAAAGGTGCAACGGCCCCGCGCTTGCCTCCTGTACGTTGGTCTTGATCAAATCATCAAGGTTTCCTCCTCCTGCCTCCCCCCCCGCGCCCTTGCCGCTATCGACGGCCGACCCCACCGAGCCGCCTCCGCCGCCTCCCATCATCCACGCGTCGCCTCCGGCTGCTGCCGCCCCGCTTGCGGAAGGCTCAGCCGTTCTCGGAGCGTTGGTGGCCACGGGACTCGCGCCTCTTTCCGCTGCCAGGGACGCGGGCGAGGCTACCGCCGTCGCCGGGGCGTCACCACCAGGAGCCCCCGAAAACTCACCGAAGTCGTCATCTTGGCTCTGGTCGGTCGGCGGCGGTGTTGGGTGTTGTTGTGGCTCTTCCTGGCAGCCCGCGAATTCTCCGAAGTCGTCGTCCTCGCTGTCCGGCGTTGTTGGTGCTGACGCGGCCGCTTCGTGCGAGGGAAGAGACCGCTGCTGGGCGCTCTCTGTTCTCGGATCATCCCCGGCAGTGCCCCAGACCGCGTTGTTGTTATTGCCCATGCTCACCTCGCTTTCCGGACCAACAGTGGTGGGCGGCGGAGCCTGGAAGGTGTTACTAAACACAGACGACGGCGATGCCGTAGCGGCGACGGCGAACGGCGACAAGACAGCCGGAGCAGCGGCCGACGACGCAGGCGGCAATTTGTCGCTACCACCACCACCAACAACAACACCAACGTCAGCGCCAACACCAACGCCGACACCAACGCCGGACGGAACCCCCCCCATGCGCGGCGGAGGTAATCGTGCGTGCCTCGTCGCCTCGAGCGCGGAGATCGAAGGGAGGGGGGCCATCCCTTGGGAAGACAGGGATCCCTGTTGGGCCAGGGCAATGAGTCTCATCGCAGCGAAGAACCCCGGCCGGCGAATGGACCCGGTCAGGGAGGGGTCACACAGGGACCAGATCTGTTTTTACGCAGGGGGTGAAGCGAGCAAAGTGAGCGGGCGGTCAGTCAGCTGAGAGGTCTGCCTTACGATAGAATACCACCGGCCTTTGTTCCCGAAAAGTTCAGAGAGGGTGTCGTGGTTGGTACTGCAGGTCTCACCCGCGTGAAAAAGAGCGGAGTTTCGGAGGGCATCTGATATACTATTCCTCCCAACGAACTGGAGCGGGATCGCGAGGTTAAAGTACCACGGCTTTGGCCGCACACCAACCAACCGCTCCCGCAAGCACCCCTGCTGGTCTGCGGGGCATCACGGCACACGACCATTTCTCTAAACGTGAGTGAGCACCCCCCCCCCCCCCCCCCCCTTCTCTCTCTCTCGCTGCCTCACCGTCTTCAGCACGTCCTTCGAAAGCCCGGAACGGCTGAAGAACTGCACGGCGATCCTACCGGACACCGTCCCGGGCACCGCGCATCCCGCGGAGGCACTCCGAAACAGAGCGTCGTACTCCGGAACCTGTTCGGCCGGCGGCATCCACTCCGCACCACCACCGCCGCCGCTGCTCCCGGCGGCAACCTGCGGCGCAGGACTCGGGGCGGGGACAGCAGTAGTACTCTTCTTCCCGCCGGTGGCTTGGTCATGAGGGAGCCCTGAGGTAGCCACACCGCCTGCTGGCAAGTTCGGGTTCTGTCCTGTTGCTGCTGGGCGGAACAACCCAGAGGCGGCGTTGAATCCGCCACCACCGCTACCCCATGGCGCTGCCGTTGATGCCGAGGCCACCGGCATCATCATGTTCTGCTGTTGCTGTTGCTGCTGCTGTAGCGGTTGCTGCCCCGCTGGGTACGTCGCGGCGCTGCCACCAAGCGAGTAAGCATGATGATGATGACCATGACCCATTTGAAAATTCTGCTGCTGCTGCTGCTGCTGCTGCTGCTGTTGGTAGTGCAAGCCGCCATACGGAGGCTGTTGATGCTGCTGCTGCTGGGCGATCGTAGCAGCAGGAGGAGGACCAGCACTAAAAGAAGAAGGTGATGATGTAGCAGCAACGTGGTGATTCACGCCAGGCCAGCCAGGCCACGGTGAGGATGAGCTCTGTTGCTGCTGTCCAGCTCCGCTGTGCGGAGCGGGGGCACCCTGAGCGAGAACATCGAACGGGTCCGCCATAGATGGGGAAGCCTATTTTACCTCCGCAACCTCTAGGTCGGAGGTTCACTGTTTCCCAAGGATGGTCCACGAGGTCTTGAGTAAAAGTTGCACAGTTGTGGGAAACGAGAAGGCGGACAGAGAGGAGCTGCTGCTGCTGTGAGGGCGGACGAACGACTGTCGGATTGTCGGCGGGACGAGGGGGGTCGACAGAGTAGAGAATCAAGGTATGTGAAAGCAGAACAGCGGAGCCGCACTTGCCAGCCAGCTCGCTGGCTGCTGGTCTGTGCCTGCTCTCTCTGCCAGAGCATATCAAGAGCGGCACATATCAGCAGTGCAGTGCATCAAGGGAGAGAACACGGGCGGTTTTCGACGTGCCTTGGCAGGTGAGTTTCCCGCGCACGTCGATCTCGGTCAATCCCAAGGTGACTCGGTCTTGAAAAGGCCTCACGCAATCATGCTACGAATTTGTAAATTCAAACCTGCCATTAGCCTTGCCAGCGAGCACGAGTCTTCCACCTCGCGTGTGTACGTAACAGCAGTAGTTTTCACGGCAAGCTCCAAGGATCCGCATTTCCGCTAGAAATACACACACGCACTCTCTCGCTCTCTCCCCCCCGTCAACCAATTGTTCGCCGCCGTAGGGACTTCGCGTGCCAGCAATTTCAAAACGCGGGAGCCTGCTTTCGGTGGACGGCGACACGGGGCACACCGCCGTCGTTTTCGCTGCTGTCACCAACTACCGGCAGCACGCAGCTGTTCGGTGGACGGTGACACGGGGCACACCGTCGTATTCGCTGCTGCCACCAACTACAGTACCGGTAGTAGGCAGTGCCAAGTGCCGCACCCGAAAAAATATGTCGGGAAACCGCACGAAGCAAGAGTACAACAGCTGTGGCAGCAGTAGCAGCAGGCCTGGAGCAGAGCGTTCGGATGGGAGCCGGGGGTTCTCGTCGGGAGCGGCGGGCGCGCGTGGTCGGGGCGGCAGCTCTAGGGGGAGGGGGCGAGGTGGAGGAGGCAGCGGCCGAGACGCCTACCACTACCAGCAGCAGTACGACCAGCAGTGGATGCCGCCGACGGCAGGCTCGGAGTGGAGAGGCGGGAGGGGAAGAGGGAAAGGTAACTGTAAAAGAAACATGAGCAGGTCGTATAACAATGACGGCAGGGGCGGTAGCGGCAGCACCACCAGCGGCAATGGTAGCAGCGGCTCTGCTGTCTTGGTCCCGGGCAGCAGCATCCGAGGGCCACGAGACGGCGGCGGCGGCGGCGGCGGCGGCGGCAGCTCGAGCAGCAGCAACAGCCACCGTTCCAATGACTACGCCCACCGTTCCAACTACTACGCGGGTCGCTCTCCCCCGCTACCGCCGCCGCCACCGCCACCGCACCCCCCCCCCCGCGGCGTCTTCTGCCGCGGCCTCTGCTTTCGT